GTTCGTGCTGGTTGTCGAGAGCCACCTGGCAGCCACTTTTATATCGTTTCTTCCTTGTGGAGCATCTAGGAAGGGGAAGCAGCCACAGTGCCCGAGGCCAACTTCCAGGAGGCCAGCGACGCTGTCAGGATTATGCCGGCAGCACCCACCAGTCCATCGGAGCCTGGCCCATTCTCCAGAGATTGGACTTGCAGGACTACTGAAGGAGTGAGTGGCTGCTTCCAGGCTGGTGGGCCTCCGGGATGGTTTGGTCAGCTGAAGGGCACTCCCACTGGGGGAGCGCTCTGACCACCAGGGGGCAGCTCCTGCATTGAGCATCTGCCCTTGGTGGTCAGTGCATGTCATAGCAACCAGTCGACTGGTTGTTCGGTTGCTTAGGCTTTTATATATATAGATATGGGGATGAAAAATAAACATAGCATGTGAGTAACATAAATCCCATTTTGGAGACTCTTAGTTTAAGCTATTCATGCACATTTATATGTTCCTTACTTTCAACAGTCTGCTGGAGGTGCATATTGAACCAATGCAGGCTCCACGCTGCTATGCTGAGGGAGTTGCTGGCAAGGGAAGGAGCCTTGGGACTGCCCCGCATCTGCCTCTGTGAGTTTTGAGGATCTTTACTATGGCCTTGCATATAGCAACCAGCAAGAAATTATGAAAGCATTAATTCTCTGTCAAAATGCATCTGCCTTCCAAATAATATAACACCCTCAAATGTTATTGTTAGGATTTCTTTAAAAGCCACAAAACTTAAGAAAATGAAGATCCTTAGCCAGAAAACATATATATATATATATAGTGAATTTATACACAAACACACACACACACACACACGCACACACACACACACAGTTTCCAAAAATGTATACACACTTTAACAGCTGATAACTCACTTAATTTTCACTCCTTTTCAGGTTTAACTGATTTGAAATAATGGGTGAAGCCAGACTAAGTTTTGAACAAAGAAAATTTATCCTAAAGTGCCACTAGACTTTTTTTTTTTATGGGGATACATGAAAGATAAAGTTTAAAGCACAAAACTGGCAATAGTGGACAAATTGAGGGCACACAAATACCAAACAAATGATTCTTTTTTTTAATATATTTTTATTGATTAAGATATTACATATGTGTCCTTGTCCCCACGTTACCCTCTACCCCCCCCCCCCGCTCATGCCCTCACCCCCCCATTGTCCGTGTCCATTGGTTAGGCCTATATGCCTGCATGTAAGTCCTTTGGTTGATCTTTCCCCCTTACCCCCACCCACCCCTACCCTCCCTCCAAAGCCCGACAGTCCAATCAATGCCTCTCCGTCTCTGGATCAGTCCTTGTTCATCAGTTTATATTGTTCATTAAATTCTACAAATGAGTGAGATCATGTGGTATTTATCCGCTCTCCAGTTCCATCCATACTGTGGCAAATGGTAAGAGTTCCTTTTTCTTCTTCCTCTTCTTAAAGAATACCTTTCAGCATTTCATATAATGCTGGTTTGGTGGTGATGAACTCCTTTAGCTTTTTCTTATCCGTGAAGCTCTTTATCTGACCTTCTATTCTGAATGATAGCTTTGCTGGATAAAGTAATCTTGGTTGCAGGTTCTTGCTATTCATCACTTTGAATATTTCTTGCCACTCTCTTCTGACCTGCATGGTTTCTGTTGAGAAATCAGCTGACAGTCGTATGGGTACTCCCTTGTAGGTAACTGACTGTCTTTCTCTTGCTGCTTTTAAGATTCTCTCTTTATCTTTTGCTCTTGGCATTTTAATTATGATGTGTCTTGGTGTGGTCCTCTTTGGATTCCTTTTGTTTGGGGTTCTCTGCGCTTCCTGGACTTGTAAGTCTATTTCTTTCACCAGGTAGGGGAAGTTTTCTGTCATTATTTCTTCAAATAGGTTTTCAATATCTTGCCCTCTCTCTTCTTCTGGTATCCCTATAATTCTGATGTTGGTACGCTTGAAGTTGTCCCAGAGGCTCCTTACACTATCGTCATATTTTTGGAATCTCTTTTCTTTTTTCTTTTTCAGTTGGGTATTTTTTGTTTCTTTGTATTTCAAATCTTTGACTTGATTCTTGGGATCCTCTGGTCTGCTGTTGGATCTCTGTAGATTATTCTTTATTTCAGTCAGTGTATGCTTAATTTCTAGTTGGTCCTTTTTCATGTCCTCCATGGTCTCACTATACTTATTGAGGGACTCATTAAATTTATTGGCGGTTTCCATAAAATTCTTGAAAAACCTTATAAACGTGGCCTTGAACTCTATATCCAGTCGTTTGCTTTCCTCCATTTCTGCCATTTGTGACCTGTTTCTTTGTCTCCGCATTTTGGCTGCTTCCCTGTGTTGATAGAGTGGCTTTGTGTGCTAGGTGTCCTGTAGGGCCCAGTGGCTCAGCCTCCCCAGTTACCTGAGGTGGACACTCTTGGTGCACCCCTTTGTGGGCTTTGTGCACAGTCTTGTTGTAGCTATGCCTTGGTTGTTGTAGGATCACTGGGAGGAATTGACCTCCAGGCCAATTGGCAGTGAGAATCAGCTGTGTCTGCAGTGGGAGAACTTCTGTGCTGGAGACACCCTTCTGGGGCAAGACTTGCTTCCGTGGGGCTTTGGTGCTCACTGAGACTGCACCCTGAGTGTGTCCCTTATGGATCTGAGGAGTTGTGATCTGGATGGTCCCCCTCTGACCACTGGGTACAGTGGCTCTTGGATCTAAGGAGGTGCTAATTTAGCCTCTGCCTGAGGTTACACAGCAGGAACTATGAAGAGAACTGCAGATTCCCCTTCCTTTTTTTGGAGTTTGGAAGTGCCCTGATGATGCTCAGCTGTGTAGCAATGCAAGCCGCTGTGGGGCCTTGGGCCTTCTCTTGGAAGCTCTGGGTCTATCTGGCCCGGCTGAGGTTAGGTAATTACAGGTTGCAAATGGCCGGGGCATTCATATGCAAAAGCCTCTGCTGCAGCCTGGACGGGGCGGGGTCTCAAGGAATCAAAGGGCGGAGAAAGCAGCTATGGCGGAGCCTCAGCCCCGCCCTAAGGAGTCGCGAGTCCCAGTGTCCCAGCAATGGCTGCAAGCACCTCTGAGGGAAAGCTGCTCTCAAGCTCGCCCGCTGCCAGACAGTCCAGTTTCTCCCCGTATGAGTCCTGGGTCCCCAGAGACTTCCCGGAACCGGATTTCAGAGCCGTCGGGAGCTTGTGTCTCCCTCCGGATTCAAAAAGACAGCCGTGTCCTCAGGTGCCAGACCCTTTCCGTGCGCGCGAGCCCCCGTACCTCTGCACTCCACCTCCGCAGCTCCTCTGGCTCTCAGTGTGCTTTTCTTTCCTTCTAGTTGTAGAATTTACACTCAGGCAGCCCTCCTGTAGTTCTGGATGATGTCCACCTTGTGTTTTTGATGCATTTATCAATTGTTGTGGGAAGCAGCAATTTCCCGGTGTTTATCTATGCCGCCATCTTAGTTTCTCAACAAATGATTCTTGATGTTAGCGATTCCCCTGCTTTGCGTTTATCAGCAGTGCCTGGACCAGTCATCAGTTTGAAGACATTATTCATTTCTGTAGATTCTTTTAAATTTTGAAAATGAACTGTATATTAATAAACACTGACTTTATATTCATTCAAAGTGTGTATACATTTTTTGGGATACCCTGTATATATAATGGATTCATATATGAATATACATATGTATGTATAAATATGAATAAGGTTTCTTATCCAGAAAACATTTTTTCCTCCTATATATGTCTATAGGAGAATTAAAACAGTGATATATAGGTTGTGCAATTCCTTGAAGGTCTAAGGATACAACCTTCATTCATCCAACATATACTTCTTGAGCACCTGCTATCTTCCAAGCCCTTTGCAAGGTCCTTGGGGTTAACGAAAAGAACAGACACCACACACTCCCTCAGGGAGCCCACTCCTGCGCACCTATCAATCAGCTACCATACAGTGCAGCACACAAGAGTCAGACATGCTTCACGCTGAACTGGGCTTGTGACTTCTCTCATTTGAGGTCTTAAGAAATAAGAAACATTCTTAAGTGTCCAGGAGAGTTTTAGTAAAACCCTGATTAACAAAGAGAAACAGAGATTCTCTTTGATTGTAGCAATGGCTGTATAATTCTGCTTACAAAAATCATACCTCTTTACCTACAGTAGCGCATTTCATGTTATTCATGATCAAATTTAAATCAACCTGTAACAGTCTGCCATTTTCAATACATTTCCAGATTTTATCAGGAAGCAGAAACTCTTGAAAATAGCCTTATCCAACCACAAAACTAAAGTCATGGGAAGAATACAGAAAAGCAGCAATAGTATATGTCATGTTCAAAAAAATACAGAGCAACATCCCTGTAGTTCCAACAAAAATATGTCATTTGTATCACATAAGAAGCATCTATTGAACAATTTAGCCTCATGCCTAGTATGGGCTGATATACAACATCATCTCTGTTCACACACATTCCAAATGGTTGGTATTTACAGTCTATTCAGTCTTTTCGTAAACAGGAGGCATCCAGAGGTAACTCCAGAAGTTAGTACAAATACAGTATGAATGCTTGCAGTGACACTGACATTTTTAAAGATGTCAACACAACGGTTACATTTCCTTCATGGCCACATTTGGCCTAAATGTCCCACAGAGTTGGCTGCATGCTCTTCATTGTCCATGACTCCACCTACTTGGACACAGGCAGTAATATCCCCTTCTCCCAGCAAACGTGCTGAGGGAAGGGGAGTCACAACCCAGAGCAGCTGATTCACAAGCCTTCCACAAAGAAGAGCCCTTTCCTCCTGAGGCAAAACTTTCCACCTCCTGGAACAGAGTAGCATCAACCAGTCCAGAGATGAGGGGCTCAGGACCTCAGGAAAACCAGCCACATCCGGTCGAGGCTTGGGTCACAAGTGGGTAGGAAAACCCACCCAGGAAAACAGACAATAATTTGAAAGACATATTCTGAACTTGACACAGAGAGGAGACATGCACATTTTCTGGTGAAGACTCACCTTTAAGTGAAGAATGTCCTAAGACGGTCCACCCAAGAGGCAACTCCAGATGGGTCAGCGCCTGCACGAGTTCCTCGTCCAAAGCAGGCAGCGCTCCCACCGTCAGGGCAAACGGGGTCAGCAAGGTCTGATGGCTACTGGCAGTGAGGCGATCGGCCTGGGTGACCAGCAGACGGGCCAGCCTGCAGGCCATGTTGTCCACGTAGGTCACGGATCCGGAGCCCATGGTCACCGGGGAGTAACCTTCTGAGCAGAGGCACACAGACACCGTCACCATCTCCTGAAGCCCGTGGCCTGGACAACAAGACAGTGAACAGTTCACCCAGAGTCTATGCGAGACGCTGTCACCTGCCTCACCGTGCTGCCTACACAGACCACATGCTCCAGGAGACCAAGGCAGAAAGGAAACGCAGCCAGTTATCTTTAAATGTTGCTGAGCCTGTGGGGCCAATTTAAAGCCAACTCCATCTTCTTCCAGGGATGCCTGATTTAAAGCCAACCTTTATGAACTCTGAGCATTTCAGTATCTATTCTCTGAAGATTACCAGACACTGTTACTTGGCCCTACCTTCGCCTTTTCCATCTACCCCACCCCCTGAATTCAAGGTTTGTCATCTTAAAGGTCTCTGCCCTTTTCTGCTCTCCTGTTTTTCCTCCTGAGTCACACATTTTTATGTACTTATTTAGATGACAGTTTTATGAAATAGCACAACATGGTGACCCAAGTTCACCCTCATTCCACAGAGCTCACTGAATATGAGTCGGGGTGGGTGATGACGACTCAAGAGAAACATTTATATATATTTTTCAGTGCCCCCCGCCCCCACTTCTGACAATGGCCTCTCTGTCTTGCGGGTGTTCTTAACACTCCTGTTGTGGGTGGTCACCTAATCCTGCTGTCTGTTCCTCCTCCTTACACATCTCTTCTTTCATCTTGCCAAGGTTGGTGAACTTCTGTTTTTATGCTAAATTTGGCAGACTTTCCAGGAATTAGTAACACCAAATCTCTGTAATTATGGTAGTCATAGCTGGACAGAAGGTGAGCTTCAGTCACCACTGGTCCCCAAGCATAAGGCTAATGAACCCAAGTCATTCCTGCTCTGCCTTACTCTCCAAAGCCTTTCCCCAAATGCAATGCGCCCAGGCCTCAAGGAACAACAGCGTCCCAGGTTAGTAAGCAAGAACTTCTGCCATTTTCACACTGACTTTTTTAAATGGTCTAATGTGCCGGCACAGAATGCAGCCCACACATGCCCAATATGTCACACAGAAATCTGTCCTACATACTTCTGAACGGTTACCCTGGTAAAGCTGTAACCAGGGAAATGTAAGGTTCAGAAACAGGCACTGTCACCTAATGAAGGTAAAAACCCTCACTTCTAAGCAGGCCACAATATAATACAAAGGATTTTCTTTATCACACAAGGAGTGGGAAGGAGGTTCGCCCTTAAATGCAAGTAAAGGAAAAGATAAAACAAAAGTGTTGAGATTAGAAGTGGCACTTTAGTTATTTTTATTCTTTCTCTATAAAAGTCTTCATTCAAAAGTAAACCAAGAAAAGAGGGGGAAGCTCAAGGCAAGAAAGACATAGCAAAAGGACAAAGGCAAGAGAGATGCGCAGTCAGAGTGACTATCATTAATGAGGTTTGGCTTTTTGTTTTTATTGTAAAGATGGGAGTTGTTGAACCAGAGAGAGAAGTACTTAAAAGTGGCCACCGAACAACAGGTGGATTCAAGCCCATGTAGCTGAAAGGTCTTTGTACATCTCTACAGTTCTTACTACGCCTGCATTCACATGTTTACTGTCTACCTTCTTTTGGCAAGTAATAGACATACTGCAGAAACAGTATGTTCTCTAAAATGAGGCTAATCTTACCTATAAGAAAATTTGATGTTTCACGGTTCCCTATATGATACGATTTAAGAGTAACTCAAAGACCCACAGTTAAATAAAACTTACCAATCGATGACAAACTGAAACAACAAAACCCTCCCTTCCTTCAGGCAATGTCCAATTCCACCTTTAGGCTAGAGCTTGACATCTTAATGTACAACCCACACCCAGTGAAAACACAAAACAATTGTATTTGAAAGGGGCTATTAGCTCATGACAACACATTAACACGACACAGAAATTTGTCATCTGTCACCATGGTGATTGAAGAAGAAATCTGGGAGAATTACAGGTTTTAGAATATGACCCGTTGGGTGGTGGGAAGAGAAAGTTCTGGAGCCTGAGATCCAGCAAGGAAGTGTCTGGATGGACAGGGTGCCAGGTGAGGAACCCCAGCCACCAAATGGAGCAAGCAGGGGGAGGCAGACCCTGGACTGGCAGACTGGCCACAAGGAATGAGGAGGGAAAATGAAGACAGATTCAATGTCCGTCTGCCTGAGCCATCCTTGGCAATGGGACCTGGGACTACAGGAGGTGATCCTGAGACACAGGGTCACCTCCACTGGACTGCATCCAAAGCACACCCAGCCTTGAGAGTTGATGGAAGGCTAGGCTGCTCAGAGAGCTGCAGACACAGCTGGAAGAACCTGGGACGTGAGCTAACCCAGCGTGAGCCCTCCTCCTATCACCCACAGACACACGCACTCTCACCCACTCATCCCAGGGAAGCACCGTTGACTTTCTCTTCTTGGCTTTCTTCCCAGCCTCTGTCCCCGGTGGGAAGATGCTCACAGACAGATTTCCCGACTGCTCAGTAAAGAAGACACCTCACCTGGAATGCTGGACTGGAGAACGTTGTCCTCCGTGCGCTCGGCAATCACCACGTGTCTCTGATGAGATCCGTTATAAATAAAGTAAAACTCGGCATCTTTAGGAAGATAGACATTTTTGTCGAACTTCGCACACACCGTCATCTGCCCCTGAAAAACGAACAAGGTGGGGCATCACCACACTGCCTCATCCTGGCTCTCAGAAACCCCACAAAAAGCACCCGCGTCCACCGGGGCGGTCTGTCACCTTCACTTCTCGTGAGAGCGCTCAACTAGTACGAATCCGTCTTTCCAACAGCAACGTTTGGGTGCTTGCTGATTTGCTGAAATATGAGCGTCAGAGCTGGTTTGTTCTGTTTTGAAAGTTGAAGAAGTTTAGAGTGCAGTGAAGGGTTTTTTTCTTTTCACTTAGGGGAGGTGAAAACGCGGTACTTTGTCTTTTACTCTGTTTGAATTCCTACCTGATGAGCATCATTGCTTGTATTCATTTTTCCCTCTACCTGAGACACCACCCTGGCATAAAGATTCAAAGTGACTAATCTTTAGCTATGGCCTTACCCTGGACTACATACCTCAGCGTCTGTTGTGACAACCTTAAATATTTCGCACACGTTGCCAAATAAAGAGAGCCACATGCTCCCACACTTGTGTGCCTTTTCCAGTAGATTGTTGTCCTCTCTGAGGGATTTCCAAGTCCTCTCTCTCATCTCACCTGGCCTCCAGCTTTCTCTTGAGAGCTTCTGTTTGGAACAGAGCCCTGGTCCCAAGGACAGGTGCTGCCCCCCTGAGCCACCAGGGCACACTCTGAGGAAGGAAGGAGTGAGGAGGGAGCGGGCACAGCAAGCTGGTGCTCTCCAACAGGACCATAGGGGGTGCAGGGGGTGGGGGTGCGGGGCTGTGAGGAGGGGCTACATCAGCAGTGCTGTCAAGAAAGCACCAGCGATGGAGGAGCCTGCCAGTTGATCTTGGGACTTGGAGGATTCCGGACACTCCCTCCCCCTCAAACATAAAATGGGTAATACAAAGGGGACCTCCAGGGAGAGGGTGCATTCCGCCCAGCCTGTGGGAGTGGCCGGGAAATGGAGACCAGGAGGTGGGAAGGGTTGCCCTCTTTGGCGGCCTCCAGAGCTCGGCCAGCGTGGAGCAGCATCTGGGCTTCTGTGAGCTGGCCCAACAAAAACAAACCCTCCTCTGAGCACGCCTCACCCTGGGATGCGAGGACAGGGAACAGAGAAAGGCTACGCAGTCTCTTTCACAGCTGTTTGCCTTTGATGGATATTAGCATGTTATTCCCTAGGCTCTCAAGAGTCAGGCCGATCAGTATCAATACCAAAATCAGACTGGAGCTCCTCTTTCCAGTAACCACATGGCCAGCTCTTCTAAAATGTTAAAAATAAAAAGGCTATGTTTTTCTAGGATTTTGAAATCCATGCCACACATGAAACATTATCTTAAATTTTGAATTGGTATAAATTGTGAAGTTCTAAAAAAAGTCACCGGTTCCCAATTTTGAATGGTCCTGTCTCTGCGTGTGAGCTCGCACACACGCGCACAAACATAATCAATAGAAAGTAACATGCCAAGAAAAATCTACCATACAATAGCTTCAAAAAAAGTTCAGGAAGAGGTTCTGAAAAGCAAGAAAAACAATAACAACAGTCTGACATGACTGAGAGAGGAAACTTAGATGAAATTCCATTTCCTAAAAAAGGAAGAACAGCTTGCTTTAGTCATGCTCCTGGTTGCTAAAGGGGCTGTTAATTACTCACAGACAGAATCTGGCCCAACCTGTTGATTTTTTTTTTAATAGAAAACATATTGTGTAAATAGATCAAAGTTTTTCACAGATCACAGGATATCTAGTCTATATCTATTCAAAACAATGATCACATTACTACTTTATCTGATTGGGTGAACAAGAACTGCAACTCATGAAAGAGCTTAACTACAACACTTTTCAATGTGATCCAAGACAGTAGTTTTACAATTCAGTTATGCCTCCCTTTCAAGACCATACCATGATTTACATTGATAAAAGAAGATAAACAACAGTCAGCTCAGAAACTACACCTGTCCATTAAAGAGAGATGTCCAGAAGTCCTGGCATTAAGAATAATATTCAGCATAAAAGGAGTTTATGATTTGCTAATCATAAAGAGATCAGAAAGACACAGTCTAATTACAAGAGAAGGAGGAAAGGGGGTGATTAAAAAAAACCAACAGAGAGAGATACAATGAGAGAGAAGAAAGGGAGGGGAGGGGGGCGTGGAGATGGCAAGAGAGAAAGAGGAAGTCAGGAAAGAAAATGTGAATTCATACAACTTAAGAAAAGGAAGATAACCCAATCAAAAAATGGACAAAGTAACTAAATAGACACTTTTCGAAAAGGACGTACAGAAGACCAAGAGACATATGAAAAAATGCTCAAAGTCACTAATCATCCAAGAGATGCAAATCAAACCAGCAATGCAGTACCATCTCACACCTGTAGGAATGGCTATCATCAACAAATCAACAAATGACAAGTGCTAGCGAGGATGCAGAGAAAAAGGAACCCTCGTGCACTGCTGGTGGGAATGCAGACTGGTGCAACCACTGTGGAAAACAGTGTGGAGTTTCCTCAAAAAACTAAAAATGAAACTCCCATTTGACCCAGTAATCCCACTTCTAGGAATATATCCCAAGAAATCAGAAACACCAATCAAAAAGGATATATGCACCCCTATGTACATAGCAGCACAGTTTACCATAGCTAAGATTTGGAAACAGCCTAAGTGCCCATCAGCAGATGAGTGGATTAAAAAACTGTGGTATATCTACACAATGGAACACTACGCTGCTGTAAAAAAGAAAGAACTCTTACCATTCACAACAGCATGGATGGACCTGGAGAGCATTATGCTAAGCGAAATAAGCCAGTCAGAGAAAGATAAATATCACATGACCTCACTCACTTGTGGAATATAATGAACAAAAATAGATCTAGATACACAGAAGCATCAAACAGACTGCCAAACCTCAGAGGGAAGGCAGGGAGGGGTGGGAGGATGGGGGTAAGAGATTAACCAAAAGACTTGTACACATGCATATAAGCAAAGCCAATGGACACAGACAGTAGGGGCATGAGAGCATGTGCTGGGGGGTGGGCATGGCCGGGGAGAGGTCAATGAGGGAAAAAGGAGATCTATGTAATACTTTTTCAACAATAAAGAATTTAAATTTTTTAAAAATGTGACTATGAAAGAACATTTTCATTCAGAAAAGTTAGATAAAGTTCAAAGGTTTAAATATCGCTCTAACGGAGTTCAGCAGGAGGAATGGGCTTCTCAAATTGTGCTGAGGACCAACATACAACATAATCAGCCACAGGTGACAATTTTTCACTACGATTGGGGTCTTTCTCATCACTGTGGCCACTGAAAATATGCCACTTTACTTAAAGGGCCACTAATTTTATTACTGGCAAAGATAAATTGGAGTGTACAGAATTCCAGTGTGCCTCCATCATGTCTCCATCTGGATTCAATCACATGCTTTGTTTTAAGCAATTGAAAACTGTAAACTTTGCTAAGTGAATTTGTTGGCATCAATACCAGAATCACTCTGCTTCTGCCCAGAAATAACAGAGATGTGTTATCACCTCTCTGTCAATTCACTGTATCCCAAATACAAAAACACTCAGCTATTTCACTGAAACTTCTGGAAACAATAAGAGGCAAAATTATCTCCCCAAATTTATCTATAAATTTAATGTACTCTAATCTAAACCCAAAGTGAATTTTTCAAATGAAACTCAACAAGTTTATTCTAAAGTTCATCTGGAAAAATAAATAGACAAGGCTTGAAACAAATGTTTTAAGAAAGCATGATGTTTGAGCTGGGGGAGTGGGCAGGGGGAGCCTGGAGATCAGAACTTACCTCTCAAAACATACAGTGAAACCATGGAAATTTAAACAGTGCAATGGTGGCACACAGAGAGACCACTAGGTACAGAGTCCAGAAACAGATGCATGGAAATTATATAATAAAGGTGGCATTTCAAATCAGTGGGGAAAGAATGTTCTACTTAATAAATAGTTTTGAAACAATAGCTCTCCATTAGGAAAAAAACATTCTTCATATCAAGGAGTTAAATTCCCAATTAATGCAATATTGCACATAATTCATAAGCACATAAAATTAGAAGACTATTAACATTTTTCATTATTGCACAAAATGATAGCAATTAAAGATATCTACATTTCATCTATATGGACACCACCCTAATGTATCAACAGTTTTTCATTTTTCCTCTTTCCTTCCAGTCTTTGTTCAATGCACAGCTAAAAATTACATAGCTATACTCATAGCATAAATACACATCACATATGGTTGTGCTTTGCTCTCTTCTGTGAAAAAATATTTTTCCATGTTGTTACAATCTTTGGCACTATTTTTAATTGCATTCCATCGAGTACTTGAAGCTCTGTGATTTAATAATGTACCCTATTGTACATTAAGGGTATTTGTAGCCTAACATTACAAAAAATACTATAATAAACATTTTCATGTACATTGTTTCTATGCTTTAAATCACTTTTTAGAATAAAATTCTAGAAATGGTCCAAGAATGTGAAAAATTGTCACAAATTGCAAAACTGATTTCCAAAAATGTTACATCAACTTTCATCACTACCTGTATTGGGCAAGCATATCATTTTCATCCCAGTTTTGCCAAAACTGTCTAATTTCCTAAATTAACAGATAATAAACAATCCTCATTGATTTAATTCACATTTTCCATTGCCACTGAAATTTATTGCCCACTTTTATAAAAGTCTATTACTAAATGGTGCCATCGTTGTTAGTGGCCTGATTAAATTTCTACTTACAGGATTCTGGTCTTCCCTCTTTTATTCACCTTTGCCTTAGGCAGATCAAAATTTCCACTTTCCCAAGTGAACCAAGTGAGATCAGCATCAGGGTTATTCCCTTTCCCCTCTGAAGAGTGAAGGTGTACCACCTACCTCCCTTCTCATGCCCAACTAAGAAGCACTCAGATACTCCTACAAAACCTCTGAAGGCCAGGTAGCATGGAAACAGGAATGACAAATGTAAACAAGAAAAGCTGAACTGAGTATAATCATACTAAATATACCTCAATATAAACTCAAACAAAGAACATCCAGTAAATTACACCAGCCTTGTTTTACCATCAAGCAGCCCCTAAGAAACGCTGCTTGCAAAACTTATCAGTAATTCTCAAAGACCAAGCTTTCTGCATGAAGTGCTACAACATCTGCGAATTTCTTCTCAAAAGAACCAAAAAGATATTAAATGTTTTTGCCACCTGACACTATTTCATCCAACTCTC